CTTCTGCCCTGGGCTATTCACATTTCCTATATCTTCACATCACGCCATCACTGTTACAATTATTACCGTGCTTATTTCGATGTAGTGTGGTGTGCTCCTTTGAGCGGCATTCATAAAAACCTTTTACACTCAACGCTGCCGTTCTCACTCCTTCACCCTTGTGCTAGGACTGTTGATCAGAGTCTGCCATATTGTTAAGCAATCCTCCTTCCTTAGGTCTTACCACAGTCTCTCTCTTGCCCCGTAAGATCCGTCTGATATTTCCCCATCTGGGCTACTCGAGGCGTTATTCGCCTTACCCTGCGTCTGGGTGACTAATTCGAGGTTAAAGCCTCAGTACTTTTCATCGTCAAGCCTTTGCTGCATGGACCACATCTATGGTAAAACTCACCGTCAGCCCATTAGACCCAGTCTCCGCAGCGTCTAACCTGTTTCTATACCTAATACCAAGTCTATGATTTGCTATGCCTTACTCTCTTGTGTGCTAACCCACAAACGTTGTGGTACTGCTTGCTTTGATTAGTTTCAATGTTGAACCACAACGTTTGTGGGTTTGCACACAAGAGACTAGGTCACAGAAAGTCATAGACTTGGTATTAGGGGTAGAAATAGGATAGACGCGGCGGAGACTTGATTTAGTTGGCTGACAGTAGACCTGTCTTACTATAGACGTGGTCTATGAAGCAATGGCTTGACCATAAGACGTACTCAGAGGCTTTAGACTCGAATTAGTCACCCGGACTTAGGGGATGGGTAATGACGCATCTAGTAGCACAGATGGGGTGGCACGGGTCGAGTGAAATACTTGAACCAGGGAGATGGCAGACGGATCCTACGGAGCAGCAGGGAGACTCTGATAAGACCGAGGGAAGGAGGACTGTGTAACAATATGGCAGAATCTGATCTACATTCCCAGCACAATGGTGAAGGTGGGTGAGAACGCCAGCGTGGAGTGTAAAGGGTTCTCATGAAAGCCGCCCAAATGGGCACACCATACTAGATTTAAATAAAAGAGGAAAAATTGTGATAGTTAAAGCGTGATACGAGAATGTAGGAGAGGTGAATAGCCCAAAACAGAAGAAAAGATAATACAATTATTTAGCACACATTTTATCAAAGGATTGGCTACTCCTGTCTCTGACGAGTTTTAGTATGGTGCTAAGAATGGCAAGACTCACTGAGGATGCCGGC